AGAGAGAGAGTGGCATGTACCATTCCCGATAATTGCTCGACGTCCATAAAGAATGTCAAGATTGATGCGAGTACACCAGTCACTATAGTGCTCTTCATAGGGACTTGAGTTTTTTTATTCACGTCTGAAAAAAATGATGGAAGCAGTCCATCTCTAGCCATAGCCATAAGTATACGTGGCTGATATACAAAAATGGAGCAAAATTTTTCAAGATGTTTTTATCATACGTCACAAAATGATGGGAACAAATCAATTGGATTTATCTTAATATGGTTTAATCTTTAAGCACATGAGATGTTAAAATTAAAGCTACAAAATTTTGACTCTAGAGTTACTTCATTCAGAAATAGGGACCTAAAGCATAATACCAAGCACACCGATTCACAATAAATAGAGCTCAGCTGAAGCAGAAGCTAATATAAACAATTTCATTGATAATTTGCAAGGAAGAATTATTATAGGTATGGTCCCCAAAGGCCCAAAGAGAACTATTCTTCATAACTCATAATACAGTGGTTCAAATTTACACATTATACTAAGTTTAATAAGAGTAAAAATTTATATATGGATCGAACTTTAACGTTTATAAATAGTACCTGTGGAAGCATTGAACCCAGCAACGTTGAACAAAGAGCGAAACACGCTCCAATAGTTATTATATAGCTGCATTAAATAATAAGATGATTTTAAAAAGCTTCAACATAAATGAAAGATATCAAATGGTAATTAACGAGCCTTAGACAAATATATACTTACGATGCCCAATGAATTCCATGACTCGAAAAGGCAGACGAGATGGGGGTGTCCGGGTCCATTGCATAATAAGGCACTAAACCAACAATTACTGCAGAAACGAGCATGTAAAGGGTGCAACATATAGAAATAGCAAAACCAATACCCATAGGCAGATCTCGTTGAGGGTTTTTCACCTGTAAACGAAAAATATATGTATATATTATATTTATATATAATATATTATCCGAGTTTGCAGGTAAGGATTCACATGCTCCGGGAAATTAAAAAGTCAAGAAAGACAACAATTCATACCTCTTCAGCTGTACTAGCGACACAATCGAACCCTATATATGCGAAGAATACAGTTGAAGCACCAGCAAGCATCCCGTTGGCCCCGAATGGCAAATATCTAAAAATCGAATGTTAAAAGATTTATAAATGAAAATTCACATTCCAAGAAAAGAATGATAGACCTTATAGTTTCAATGAGTAACAGAAAAGTGGTTCATGTATTTCTTTCGTTTCTCTAATAAATTTTGTGCATGTTTTTTTGTACTTAATAGCTGTTAGTCACTTAGTATGAAATACCCTGTGGAGAGTTCATAACCAGGCCACCCAGACTTGAAGCCTAAATATCCACCAGCTATGATAACGGAAGTCATGGCGCAAATATTTGCACCTGTGACAATTCCTTGAACAGATGTGCTCTGTGCACAAATCATGTAATAAGAAGGTTAATGATGTAAATTTCAGCATTGGTAAAAGATGGTTATTGATAAAAGGGTAACTAACTATTTACCAGTATTACCAATGGCGAATAGCCGCCATAACCACCATCCTTCACAAATTTCTAATGGTGGTTAGGCAGAAATTCGATAACACTAATTTTTACCACCTAAGCTATCACGAAATTTGTAACTTACCATATGTTTTTTCTTTTTCTTTTTTTTTTAAAGGAAAAAAACCATGCAAACTTTGCCGTACTTTGGAATGCCCCCGATATTTAAAAACAGGTTTTTCATGCCGGAAAAAAACGGTGTAAGCTTATGACCAAACAATAATGAAATAGAGAGGGGAATGGCTCAAAAGTTGCGCATAAACAAGGGGAAATGAGCCATGTAAGAAATTTTCGAGAAGTTTGGCCTAGAATATGCATGCTGGGAAGAGAAAGTGTAGATTTAGAAGGCTGCACAGAAATTTCAGGGGTAGAGGGGGGCAAAAATGGAATTCCCGGCCTTTTATACGCGGAATGATGATTTTCCGATCTGTGGTTAAAAAAAAAAA